GATACAAGATTATTTTTAATTATTAAAATTTAAAAAAACTTTTAAATTTAATTTACTAATAAAAAAATTAAAAGAAATAAAATGTTGAGAAAATCAAAAAATAAAATAAAATACTACCGTCAATAAAAACATTTAAAAACAAGATATTAAAAATTACTTTTAACAATATTTTTTTTTGAAGATAATTATTGTAATTTATATAAATAAAAAAAAGATAAAAATATAAGATTAATAGAGATAACAAAATATTTTAACGATTGCTTATATGTTTTTAAAAATAAAATATTGTTCCTTGTAGAGAACGAAGCGTAAGTTATTTTGAAGATGTTGTCTCTGGATAGTGGATTGATACCTTGGTAGAGAGCGAGAGAATTAGAATACGTTAGTTGGGAATTGTGGAAGGAACATAGAAAGGCAAAGGAAAGAAGAAAAGTAATGGTGTGTTGAGAAAAAATTGGCGATGGATAGGAAGACGAAGGAAAGGGAAAAGACGAAAGTGGTGATTAGGCATTTGCCTCCTTCTCTCACTCAATCTGATTTCTTCCAACACATCGATTCCCACTTCGCTGCTCGCTACAATTGGTTCTCTTTCCGCCCCGGCACCAGCACGTACCAATCCACTTTTCCTTTTCCCTTTTCAATCCATTCATTATTCATTAACATGTCTATCAACACCAAACCCTAACACCTTGTTCCTTCAATTCATATCTGCAGCCACAAGCGTCAGAGGCATTCCCGAGCATACATAGACTTCAAGTGTCCTCGTGATGTTTTCGAGTTTGCTGAGTTCTTTGATGGACACGTTTTTGTCAACGAGAGAGGTAGTTTAATATTCTTATCGTATGTGTGATCCATGTAGCCGACCTTACTTAGTGAGATAAACCTTTGTTAATGTTGAATGCTCAATCAGGTGCCCAGCACAAAGCAATCGTTGAGTACGCGCCTTCTCAGCGTGTTCCAAAGCCAAGTACCAAAAAGGATGGCCGCGAAGGGACTATATACAAAGGTATCGTGTCGAAATGTCTATTTGTGTAAGATGCTACTGTGGGCTTACAGCATGTGTATTTTATGTTATTTATGATTTTCATTATTTTTCTATTTCTCATAAGGACAGATCCAGACTATCTTGAGTTCCTCAAACTCATTGCAAAGCCTCAGGAGCACCTTCCCAGTGCAGAGATACAATTGGAAAGAAAAGAAGCCGAGCAAGCCGGTTAGTTATCAGTCCACCAACTATATTTGATTTACACTGCGTTTGTTTCAAGTTGTCAACTTTTTTTTACCGGAATAGTATTCTCGGGCATGACATTCTTGGATATTTTTAAAAGAAATATGTTTGGTTAGTTATGAGAATGTTTTTACGAAAGTGGTTGAGAAGTTAAAATAAATAACAATAACAAATTTAGTTGCCGAGTCATGGGAATTCACATACCCACCCACTTTCTTTGGGAATAAAAGCATGGGAACGTGGGGGTTATTTTCATCCTCGGTAAATGTTTTATTCCCTGCAATACAATATGTAAGCTTGAAACAAATATGGGAAAACACATTTCCTAATTCCTATCTATATGTTCCAAGAAATATTATAAGATGACTTGACGTTATGTGTTCATCTGCTGCTGTTTTATGTTATGGTGGTGTATGTTTTTTCTCCGTTAGTTCCCTTGTAAATGTTTTTTTTAGGACCTTAGTACAAGATTCTGGATAAATGTGTCCATCGAGATTATCTGAAGACTAAATTCAGTACCATTGCTCTCATATTGTATGCTTCTTTCTAGGGGCTAACAAGGAAACACCTATTGTCACACCTCTGATGGAATATGTTCGTCAGAAACGTGCTGTTGACAGTGGTATGCAGGTAATGATTCTGGGTCTGCATTTTTTTTTTTGCCTTTTCTTTTGTGTCATGTTTAGGTTCACCAGGGTGCATTTATTTCAGAACTTGTAACCTTATGGATTAGAAGAAGGCTTTGTATACATCTTTTTGTTTGTTTGTTTGTTTGTCTTTAGTTGACCTTCAGAAGTGTTGTGAATGAATTTTGGCATGTATGTGCTTGATTGAAGAGAAATCTTGATATTGCTTGTCTGGTATGCATGTGTTTTTAATAAACTGCTGCTGTATTTGGGTTTTCATTTAAATTAATGTAATCTTAATTATTAAAATCTCAGAATCAAAATTTAGAACTATTATATCTAAAAAAATTTAAGATACTGGGACCGGTTTTTAACTTTTCAAAGACAGCAATGCACATTAATGACTATAACTAGGACTGTTGCATATTATAAAAGGCACGTAGGAGCAAGCTAGACGTTTGTTTATTGCTTATAAGAGGTTTTATTAGAAGAGAGTGCTGGAGAATAATGTAAGTTAATATGCTGTAATATAATTAATTGGTATAATGAAAAAGTTATATTAATTTTACCTTTGTTGTATTTCACAAATGTGTTATTTCCATTTGTGTTATTTGAAACTTAGTGTCTTGTAAATTGAGCCTAAAATGCATATAGACTTGGTACAAAATTCTCGAATTAATAAAGAAGGTAATACATGTGTAATAAGAGGGATGGATCACTTAGCTTTTTGAGTCTTAAGAGAGAGTTGTGAATGTTGTGGGTCTGAATGCTTACTGTCTAATCTAATGGGTTAATGAGAATGAAAACATTCAGTTATGATTGTTGCTATGTAGTCAATAGTGTGGCGAAATACAGGAAGCTGTAGTGTTTTTTAACACTGCACGATGTGATTCTGTTGTATGTCGCGGGTTTGCAATTGTGGCTGCATTATGTGGCAAAATCACTGCAGGTGCATGTGAAATCAGGCGCAATTACAGCATCCCATTAAAAAGATTGTCCCTTCGATTATAGAAAATCAAGATTGGTTTTCTTCTTTTTTTAACCCAATTTTGTTTTTCCGACATTTTGTCTTTTCTTTTGACTTTAAAACCTTTTTGGTTATGTACTTACTTTTTTAACTTTTAAAACTTTTCAGATACGCACCCCGGCCTCCCCCACCAATTAATTATTGTCTTTTAAACTGATTCTGATTTGTATTTTCTATTTTATGTATCTATTTCTTTTTTGTCCGTTTACATATATTTTGGTGACTCACTTATGCCCCCCTCCATCCCCTTTAGTATTGGATTTGAATGTTAGTGACAATGACAATGAATTTTATTTATTAATATTTATTATGATATGACTACGTTTTTACACTTTAATTTTTTATATTTTTCTATTTTTTAGTATTTTTATATTATGATATAAAATTTTTAAAAAGTGTTATTTTCTAGACTTTGAAATAGCGGCCATCCCCACTATAGTGTTTTTAGGGGTGGCTGCTCCGTGCTGCTATCCAGGATTGACTTAGGATTGTTTTTAGGGGGGTGGGGGGAGATTGGTTTTCAAAAGTGAAGCTTACAGTTACAATTGTTTCATATTGTCTACAGGTTTTGTGTATTGTGTTCTTTCCAACTGGTTTGTTCTGAATTTCTGGTGGTGGGTTAGCATATGTACTTCTTCAAAGTTCAAACTTGTCCCACTTTTTGTAGCTTGTTCACTAGATTTTTCATTTTTGGTTATTATCTGGGTGCAATAAATTTGTGATTGCATAAAAATATGGCAAATGTACTATCCCAAAAAATTTGCAGTTTATCATATGCACCCTTCATCTATATTATGCCTTTATATAATTATAGCTTATAACTTCCTCTCCTGCTGTGCTGAGTGAAATTATTCTTGTAATATATAAATGTAATTTAGTGTATCACAAATGAATTAAGTTATGAAGTTTTTCCTGCTTGAGTATATTTTGACATATAATACTCCACTTGTGGTTTTAACAATCAATGATAGGCTTCATCAGCAGTGGCAAAAGTTAGCAGAAGATCAAGAGCTGCTTTGCCTGGCAAGCCTGGCTCAGGCAATACTAAAAGAGGATCTGAAAAGAAAAAGGTAAACCTTTGTAATGAATGCAGCATAATTACTTGAGTTATTTTTCATTTTGAAGCTTTACTTCATTATTATAAAAGTTGTAATTTTTCTGTTAATACTAGAAAGACAAGATAAACTATGTTATTGTTGGCTTATTACCTCCAAAGTGGCCCTTTCATCTTATTTCTGTTAGCTTTTTAATGTTCAATAATAATATTGATCTACCAAGTGGCTGAGCAAAGAATTTCACGTAAACTTATTGATACCTAGTAACCAATCTATCCATGAACTGAAGTCGAGCATATAGAAATGGTTGAATACGTCTATGAGCATACATGTAGTTATCTATTTGCTTTTACACTACCGTTCAACTTTTTTTTATCACAAGGATAAAACTGTAAAAAATAAATAACTGATAACTCTCATAGTTATCAATACTGGGGTATAGTGGTGCTATCATGCTGGAGCAGTGCGGAGCATGCCTCAGCTGCTTTTGTATGCTAGTTGCATTTCATGTAAGTGTGTGGTTGGCCAAATTTGCTGCTAAACATCCTGGATAGCCGCTGTGGCTGCTATGCTTTATAGACTAAATCTATGTTTTACCCTGGCCTAATTTTGTTGTTTAAGGGGATTTTTGGTCTCCTATACCCATCCATACAGTGAGGCATTTTAAGATTAGCAGCCTGTGTTCTTTATTACACAAACTCAACAAATTGTGAGCTGTAGGAATTTACTGTTCCCACAAACACAAGGAGTTTGCATAGCCCACCCCATGCTACAGCAGATTGCCACTAGTCCACCCATTTTTGTTAGTACCAAGCAGCTCATGCCTGTTCTGAATCTGACATGTCTCTGTGCTCTCTGCATTTTCCTGTCCTTGGCCTCACTTTCATCCTTTTTCCAGCCAAGCCCAGCCAGTTTCTCGATTTTGGATTTGAGTACTGGTTTTGAGCCTGTTTAATATGTAGAAACTATTTGCTTTGTTTCATCTATCTTTGGTGTAGCAGCTGCTTTGCTTCACCACTATAGCATTTAGGGGGTGGGGGACTGCTATCTGGGGTTAATTTAACCACTTTGACTACTTTTTTTTGTTAAACCCTCAAAACTTTAATTCCCTGTCTTCTTTCCATTCTTTTTAAAAATCAATTATGTGGAATATGTTGAATTATTCTCTTCCCTTCCCGTTTCTCTCCTCTGTTATGCTTCTGTCTCCTTTTCAAAAGCCAAGCAAGGTCAATGGTGACTCAACAGTCAACAATTATATTTTTGAATTTTGAATTATTGTATTTATTTGTCTGTGTAAGCATGACCTGCATATGCTGATGCTAGATTGACATAGGATAGTAACTTATGAGGACTAGTTGAAATAGAAAAAGGTTTAATTACAAATTGTTAGGATGAGGGAAGTTTGTTCTTCTTTCATGTCCTTGCATACAAGTGGCAATAGCATTGTATGTCCTAACACTAAATACACATCAAAATACTGCCAATGGATTAGAAAATAATCTGAAATTTACTGCAGTTTCTAATTTTTACTGCTAGGAATATATAAGTATTTAGTTCAAGTAGGAATTTATAAGCATTTTAGTAATCTAGATAGTGATCATAATCCCAATCTAGTTAAATGTATAAAATATTAAAACACTCCAATGTCAATGCTGAAACAAAATGCTGGATGCTTCTTTAATCAAGAAAAATATTAGTGTTGTGCTCATTCTTTCTTGATGCTATTGCTATCATTCATGTTTGTATGTTACAGACATGTGAAGTGAACATTTAAGGTTTGATTAACTTTAAGAACAATTATTGAATATTTCTTGATACAGGACCAAGGTGTTTAGCTTTTACTCTCTATAGCATTTAAAAATACTATCAAACTTGTTGGAAAGCCTCTTTAGTTGCAGTCACTCCTTGCCTGCCTTAATTGTGGCCTATCAAAGTTAGTTGCCAATGTTTCGATAAGGACTACATATGAAGGGGTTGATTAGAGTGGCTGAGTGAAGCAGCAAAGTGTGCAGCCACTGGGGGCGGTTGATATTGTACATTGACTATAGATATGACCTTAATAGTGCTTATAAGGCTTAGGCAGTCCTCGCCTTACAAGTTGGTATTTTGGAGTTGAGCTAGACCCGTAGTCTATAGAACCTATTTTAGATCCATTGTTTGGCCACCTACATTGCCACGCTCCAGGTCCATATCCTTGGGTGTCAGATGGGTGTTGGAAAGCTGCCTTAATTGCACCACCTCTAGCGTAACATAACAGTGCCCTATTAAAGTTAGTTGCCAATGTCTCAAAAAGGACGAGTGAAGCGTCGTGATGTGCAACCATTGGGATGTTGGTTGTTAGGTGGTTCTGATCTCACATCAACTAGAAACATGTCTTATGTAGTGTAATAAGGCTTGGACAGTCATCTCCTTACAAGCCGGTCACATGGGGAGGAGTTTGACCCTAAGTCCAAATTCTAAGAAAGCTTTTGTTTTTGGATACATCTACTTATGCAACTATAAATCAATTAGAAATCCTTCTATATAAAAAGTTACTGTCTTAGTATTTTTTTCCTTTCATTTTGACATTATTTTCTAAAGCTAATAATTTTTAAGATTTTTCTGTGTAGTCTGACTTCGTTTGTTGATATATACTATATAGACATCCTATTTATGCTTGCAAAAAGAACAGTGGGTTGGGTGACTTAATGAAAATTGGTTGTGATTATCAGTATGTTCAGAAGGACAATGCTAAGAGTGCTGCTCGGAAAGAATCGAAAGACAAATCAGCCTTTACTGTTGTTCCGCGGCGGGAGGATCAATCAGCTGAATCAAGTATAAAAGGAATTTCTGAAATTGAAGCTTGTAATTCATCTTTTCAGCCTTTCAATCTTGTTTTATTAATTATTTATTATTCTTCATATCCACATCTATTGCTTTATTATCCACTTTCACTGCTTGAACAGAGTGCCAAGTGCTGTGTCCTCCCCCCTGCCTCCAAGTTATTGTGTAATTTGTATTTAACTGCATTCATACTTGAGTTAAAGATGTCTGACATGCAGTGTGATGTGACCTCAGCTTTTTCCTTTACACTACCTTCCAACTCATCATATTTGTTCATTGCTTATGGTTTACTTCCCATATTCTACTTATAAAATGCTGTAGGATTGGCATGATGTTTTGATTAGTAAATTGGTTGTATCTCTTAAGTAGTGGACTTGTTTTTCATTTACATTAATGTAATCATATATCTGATACTTCTGATTAAAACCATTGCATGTCTTAAAAATGCATGGACTATCCAATAGGATGGACTAATTTGTCAGTAAAGACAGTATATGACATTTGAATTCAGACATGTGTCAAAGATGAATTATATAAAAAAAGACTAATTTGAAGTCTTCACCCTATTTTATAGAAAAGTAGTTATTGTTAAAGAGAAAGTAATCCACTATACCTGGGGATAGGCAACATCTCAAATTACAAAAGCTTCCAGAACCAAAGATACAGAGGAACCTAAGAGTACAGCTTGGCTGCCATGTTCCTCTATCCATTGAAACAGCCAGTTATGAGCAGAACATAGTAGGGGGCTGAAAAAAAAAAAAAACCCTATGAGAGCTCCATAATTCAAGTTTCTAGGAGAAAGAGCAATAATAGGCTGAGTGAAAATGGGTCAAGTTGGGAGAAGAAGCTGTGGGATTATGGAAGGATAAGTAATAAGGGGAGATGTTGGAAAATATAGTAACTACATGGAATTTGATGAAGAGTTTTTGTTACTGTGTGGGACAGCTGACACTATGTCAGTGATGAGGGAATTTCTGTTATCATACCAAATTTGTTGACGTGATTAGAAAAGGGGTAAAGACGACAGAGAGGGGGGACATGCTGAACAGTGATAATCTGGTGATGAAGTAGTGTGAGGAAACATGACTTGATTGGAAAGGGGGTAAGAGGATAGAGTGGGAGACATACTGGACAGTGATAATCAGGTGTTGCAGTAGAGTGGGGAGACATGGTGTTGTTTCTTTTCAGGGTTTAATTTAAATATAGGCTGAAGGAAAACACCATATCAATAATTGTAATGCCGCTTTCCCACAACAGAATCCTCATTCGTATTTGGGCCTGCCTCTAAAACCCTATCTAACAAGGCAGTCTCTTTCAGATTGCCTGTGAGAAATCACTTGCAATTTTCTTTATATTTGAGTCTTTCTCTTCAGAGCACATCAGGGTGAAAGATAACAGGGGAATACTGCATAAACAAGTGTAAGTAAGAGTAAAAGGTTGTAAGCATCTATCCAAGTGTCTGAATGATTAAAAATATAACTGATGACAAGATAAAATAATTACTCTACAACATTCCTTTTTCTGATACATTTCCTAGATCCTTTCTTCTCTCTGTTTTGCACATTGCCACTACAACCCACTTTTATTCTTCATCTTTTGCTACTTTTTCATAGAATTTTCACTTTAGAAATTTGCATGTTAGGGAATACTCGGAATTACAGTCTTATAAATTTGCTGGATTTCAATCCATCTCTCTCTCTCTAATTCATGCAATGATTTGATCTTGACAAATCCTAAGTTTAGTTTCTCACTACACGTCCCAGCAATGAGTCTTTCCTTTTAGATAAGTCCATTTGGAAATCAATTGCTCCTTGTAACGGTAAGGTCAAAGTCTTTGTATGGACTGCAGTTCTAATCAGAATTAATACCAATGATTTGCTTCAGATTCTAAGAACTATCTATCTGCTTTATCTCTGGATTATTGTGTGATCTGTAGATTCAGTTCTGAAACTAGTTCCCTTTTGTTTTTGCATTGGTCAGTAGTTTACTCTATCTTTTTCAAGTATTATATCTATTTTATTGAAGGATCTGGATTCCCTGCAATCGTTTCTAAAAGTCAGTGTATCTGATATTCGAAAATGCTGGTTGGAACCCACCCAACTTTAGGAGAGAAACAAAAACAGCATGCCTGCTGTTCTTAGAACTAAGATTAGCAGGGGATCTAATCTTTAATTTTCATAATATTTTGAAGATTCGGCAATAGTAAATCAGTGCTTTAGTTTCTAATTGAATTTCTTAAATTTTAGCTGATTAGTGTTTTGATTTTCTTATTTGTGATTGATGAATATGCAGTGCATGGCATTGAAGGTCCAATTTCTGGAATTCCGTTGACTTCTGACTCAGGAAAGAAAAAAATCCTTCTTCTGAAAGGAAAACAGCGGGACATTTCCAGTGTAGGTTTTGTTTTACCCATGAATGTTTCATCTTTTTTCAAAAATACCTGCTATCTCTATTTTGTTTGCTTTTATTAATTGTATTATCTCTCTTATTTCCTTATAAAATGATGCTCTTCATAATAAACAAGATTTAAAACAAATTATATTTTCTTCCCCCTCCCGCCCTATAGTTAGTATGTGGTTTTTGTGGACACCAGAATTTGTTTTTTCTGGTCAGAAGTAATTTTAGTGTTACTTCCTGAATGATATTTTAAGGTTTCTATAATGTACTTTGAAATTTGCACTCAAATATTAATAAGCTCATCATTGTAAATCTGTTATTATGAATATTTTGATGGAATTTTCAGGCCACCGAGGGCACAGTAAAACAGCAAAATGTACAATCTGGAAATTCTGCTATTTCAACTCCTGCAAAACAGAACCAGAGACGTGAAGCTGGTGGACGATTGATTAGGAGCATACTTCTAAATAATGAAGCTCGTCAAAGTCAGTCTACAACTAGTGCACAACATAAAATTCAAATATTAAGTTCTGAGAATGGTAAGCGACCACCTCGTCCTTTTGGCTCAAGATCGGGGCTAAATGATCAAGCCTCAAGTCAGGATTCTGGACAAGTTAATTCTGAAGGGGATTCTAAAAGGGCTTTGGACGAAAAGTTTGTAAAACGGGATCTGCATGGTTTGGGTAGAAGTGAGAAAACAGAAAAACGTACTAGAAACAAGGATAGACCTGATCGCGGTGTTTGGACACCACTTCGTCGTTCTGATGTTCCACATGCCGGTAACGATCACTCATCGTCCTCGTTGGCACAACCTACTCTGTCAAATCCCGAATCTGCTGAAGGTATGACTATTGACTAGGAAATGAGTTGTTTACAAACAAAATGAATTATGTTTCATTCCAATAAAGGGCGGCCCAGTGCACGAGGCTCCCACCTAGTGGGGTCTGGGGAGGGTAGATGTACGCAGCCTTACCCCCGCAAGCGGAGAGGCTGTTTCCAGGACTCGAACTATTTCATTCCAATATTTAACATAAATACTATGAAACCATTGCCATAAAAATAAAGCTGAGTGATTAAAATCTACTGTCTGCTGGTGATTTTCTTGTCTCAACAGGAGAAGTGAAAGAAAACGTTCCTTCTGGAAACAGGGGCGGTGAATTCTCTGCTTCTTCAGGTGGACGTGGAAATTCTTCTATTGAGAATGGTTGGAGTCTCTTTACTAATTATGGTTAATAAATCAAAGACTGATAAATGGAGTATTTGTCTCGATTCTGATGGAAATGTGTTTCAATCGAACTTTTGAGCTTTTTAGGTTCTCAAAGAAATTTTACTCGCCGTGGAGCTTCCTATGTAGTGAAGGATGATGTTGCAGTCAGTTTAAGTGAAGGAAAACCTTCAAAGAAAAGTGTTGGGCATAGTGCTCATGAGGTATACATGTCATATGCTGATGTATTTTGTATCACCTTTTTGGTTGATTCATTGTGTGTAAAATACTTATTGTGTTGGCAGAAACAAGTCTGGGTTCAGAAATCTTCTTCAGGGTCTTAAAATATCGGTGGTAAGCCTTATTTACTTTTATTGTCTGTTGTCTGTTGTACCTGAGAATGAGATTCAGTGCTTATTGTATTGGATGTATTAGTACCTCATTCTGATATAATGTTGATCACTCAGAAAATCTTCAGTGAAATTGATGGTTGCTTGTGACATGTTTGTGATTGCTTGACATTTTTTGCTTTATAAATAGGTCAGGAGTTTTGGTTCTCAACTGCTTATCTTGCGCCCTTACCTTTATGGCACTATAGAACTTTTGATTAATAGTTGTAGAAATTATAGTGTATATCGATGGCTAGTGCTCCCATTTGTGAGAGAAAATCAATTCTCCAGCAGCATAGTTCTTCAATTAGTCTCTTTATTTTCTGCCAGCTGTCTTTTACTTGTGTTATGGCTAATGTGTTGTGAGACTGTTATTCGATGTCAATTATAACTGTCATAGCTGGCACCTGATAGGATCTAAAGCTTCTGCATGATAAATAGGGTTGTAAGCACTAAGCAGTAGCTAATCAGTGTAATCATTCATTTTCAGTAATACAAAAGTTTTCTCTCAAACGTCAAAACCATTAATTCTAATTCATATAAATGAAAGGGATTCACGCCATCAACAATTTTTCTTTATAGAAGTATTAATGACCAAAACATCTTCCCCCTTGGGTATATTTTCACTTGATATTGATATTTTCATGTTCTATTTCGTTTCCAAGTACTTTTCATTTAATTGTCCGAAGATATTATAATGATTTCTTTGATGTGATTAAATTATCAAATTCAAATGTTCACTGATTTGGATTATGAAACTGATTTACTATTTGATAATGGCTTCATAATTGTATGATTAATTTCTTGAAGAAGAATAGGATTATAGGAATATCACATCAAAGTGGAAATAATTATCTTACCAGTTGAAGTCTAAGTGAATGTTATTGTTAGATATATTGTATTTTCACAAAACCTTGATTTGTTCCTAATCCTCTTAACTCAAGACATTATACGAATCTTTTCAATTAGGAATTTGCAAAATCAAAGTTGTTGAATTTGGTGTTGAAAAGTGGAACAAAATTACAGTCTGAAGTGGGAAATGCTTGAAATGTGGTTTCACTTGAAATTAAAAGCTTTTGAATCCTTTTATTTTGTGTATACATATGCATGTGTCTTTAGAAGCAGATGCAAAACAATGTCTCAAGTCATTTTAAGAGTTTGTTGCTTAAATCTTTGATTATTATGACATCGAAGTGTAGAAATATTTGGAAGGTTGGTATAGCTGCTTCATTTATGTAGAATGCTCCCAGGAGTAATATTTTCTTAAACCATATCCCCCCTATTTGTAAAAGCTAGCCAACAAATTATTGACACTTCATTACTTATAGTAACTACCAATCACTGTCCTGAAAACCAGACTGGCTGGTTGGACTGGAAAACCGATGAATGGGTCTAGTGTTCAGTCCAAATAAACTCACAAAATTGACCTTGAGAAAAACTGGTCAAAGAACCAGAAAATTGGTCAAAAACTTGTAAAAACCGGCCAAAAACCAGCTCACAACATGCCAATAACTTTCCTGTTTCCAATGATGGCATTATTTGATACACTGTTATTTGTGTTGGTTACAATCTATTGAAGTAGGGTGATTGTTTGACTACATTAGCGATAGTTAGTTGATCTAGTTCCTATAAATGTCTAATTTGTCATCTGGTTTTGCTTTGAGTTATCATTATGTCCATACTAGAAGATTTGCCAAAGGATCGTGTTACTTATAAATTTTAACCTGGTGCTTTTATTTGTGAAACATATGTGGTCGAGTAATCACAAAAGATGTTGCTTTACCTTTATATAGGTTGCACATTCATCTAGTGGTTTAAGAGTATTGTTTGCATCCAATTTTGCTATTAACTTTGTAATATTATAAACAGATTATGGACACTCATTCAGGGCATCTTTCCTGCTATGTTGAGCTACAGTCTCCGTTTAGGACATCATTCCTGCTATGTTGAGCTACGATCTCCGTTTAGGACATCATTCACAATTAATTCAGGGCAACCTGAGCCTAAGCGACTTGAAAGGTATGTGCATGTTCTACTTTTGTTAAAAAATAAAAAAATAAAAAAACTACTTTGAATAATAGTTCTTAAAAAGGATGACTCGGTGTATGAGGCTCTCATCTGGGAGGATAGATATAAGTGCAGCCCTACCCCCACAAGCTGAGGGATTGTTTATAGAATTAGATCCTGTGACCTCCAAGTCACAAGGCAGTATCCTTACTGGTTCTCATAAGTTAGGGATCAATTTCTTTAGCTTGTGATCAATTTCATTCTTTCTGAAATTTCTTTTGGTTTCTGATCAATTTCACGCTTGGATTTTGGCAGTAAAATGATCCAGTTGTTGGCCTTACGGAGCCTGCACAATAAAGGGAATGCAAAGTTACAGACCTCGTTGACATGATTATCTACTGAAAAAATTCCTGCTATGTTGAGCTACGATCTCCGTTTAGGACATCATTCACAATTAATTCAGGGCAACCTGAGCCTAAGCGACTTGAAAGGTATGTGCATGTTCTACTTTTGTTAAAAAATAAAAAAATAAAAAAACTACTTTGAATAATAGTTCTTAAAAAGGATGACTCGGTGTATGAGGCTCTCATCTGGGAGGATAGATATAAGTGCAGCCCTACCCCCACAAGCTGAGGGATTGTTTATAGAATTAGATCCTGTGACCTCCAAGTCACAAGGCAGTATCCTTACTGGTTCTCATAAGTTAGGGATCAATTTCTTTAGCTTGTGATCAATTTCATTCTTTCTGAAATTTCTTTTGGTTTCTGATCAATTTCACGCTTGGATTTTGGCAGTAAAATGATCCAGTTGTTGGCCTTACGGAGCCTGCACAATAAAGGGAATGCAAAGTTACAGACCTCGTTGACATGATTATCTACTGAAAAAATGGCATTGTTAACCATGTTGGTGGGTTAGACCCCATTATGGTTCGTGTCTCCTTAAATTGAATATTTCAGTGTTGGGACAGTATTGAAGTTTTTGTGTTTGGGATGTAACTGTAAAGTGCTTGGTACATAACATGGGACAGTATGTCGGAAGAGTGAAGAATCTTGTCCCCTTCAGTTGTTAAGTAGTTATGTAGTGTTTTGTATTGAAGGCTTATACTTAATTTTATCGTGCACATGGTGTACGTGTTATTATTGTAAGGATATGAACGTATTTGGTCCTCACGACAAGAGTAGCCCCTATTCCATACTCGTTCCATGAATCAGGATTGTCTATTTTTTAATAAAGGACGAATAGAAAAATTGCTAGAAGAGAAGGAAATCGCAAAATTAGAATAAAAAAAATACCAAGATACAAGAAATCGGGCTTACATTCTTTCCTACGTGTAAGCTATGTTTGAAAGAAGACAAATGAATTGGAGATTATAGAACTCAGCAAACTAGTAATCACGGTAATGACCAATGTGTTCATAGAATACAAACATGAGAATTCAATGTTATTATGCTAAACATGAGAATTCAGACATTCAGTATTAGAATACATTTAAAATTTAAAGAGTTAATTCTCATGTTTTGCATATAACATTATAGATGAGTTTATCGGTCCAGGAGATCCCCTAACTCTTATTGGACATTTGATATACAAATTCTTTCATATATGAGAATCGTGATTATGTGAGATATAAATAAGTCCTGAGAATTGTGTTTTATAGAAATAAAAATCTATTTAGTAAGTCATAAATGTTTTAAAGAATGCTTATAAATGTTATCAACAATCAATGATTTTTATTGTATTAAATAAGTAAATAAATTACATTAAATAAGTATATAATTGTATTAACATGACATTTTTACCATATTAAAATTTTATTTTTAATTCAAGAAAGTTAGTTTTTCACCTTTTCCATGAAAAATTTATACAAAAATCATTTTTGGAAAAACAATGTTTCTTATTAATTTATTTTTTCCTAATGTTAAAATACTTTTTTTTAATCGTGAATTCGTGATTATGTGAAATATAAATAAGTCCTGAGAATTGTGTTTTATAGGAATGAAAATCTTTTTAGTAGGTGATAAATGTTTCAATGAATGCTTACAAGTATTATCAACAATCAATGATTTTTATTGTATTAAATAAGTAAATAAATTACATTAAATAAGTAAATAATTGCATTAACATGACATTTTTATCATATTAAAATTTTATTTTTAGCTTAAAAAAGTTAGTTTTTCACCTCTTCCATGAAAAATTTATACAAAAATCATGTTTGAAAAAATCATGTTTCTTATTAATGTTATTTTTTTTAATGTTAAAATATTTTTTTAGTTCTTATACTTATTTTTTTTAATTCTTTTTAGTCCTTATAGTTTAAGATATATTTTAGTCCATATACTTGCAATTTTGTAATCATTTTAGTCTCTGTTATTAATATTTTTTATAACGTTGTTTGTTTTATATTGACATGGTAGATGTCATCAATTTTGTGAGAGTAAAAAAAGATGTCTAAATAATGGGTGTTGTAAGTGAAGACACAGAGTGTCAAAAGATCTAATTTAGAATAATTTCAACAAAAATAAATTTGATATAAGATATATAAAAATGAATTAATATCCTTATCACATCAATAGCAAAAAGACGTTACAAAAAAAAAAATAATAACAGTGACTAAATGGATTAAAAAAAAACTTCAAGTATAAGAATTAAAAAGATTTATATTAAACTATAAGGATTAAAAATGATTGAAAAAGATAAGTATAGAGACTAAAAATATTTCTTTTAATCTATATGAACTAAAATGTAAAGTAAAATTATTGAAACTAAAAAAATATTTTAACCTTTTTAAATGACAAACTAAATGCAGAAAACTAAAATTCTCATCAAATTTTTTAGAAAGTAAAACTTTTTCGTGCATTAAACACTCTCTTAGGGGACATTTGATACACAAAATATTTTTACATTTATGATAATCTTAAAGTAGGGATCTTAGTTTCCTATGTTAGATAGTTATTTAAAAAAAAAATAGATTCCCAAAAATATAGTTTTCTAAGAACCATTTTTATCTCACTTTCATGCTAAAATATTCTCACAAGAGGTGGGAATTGAGAATTCAACTTTCCCTTATGGGAAAAGTTTTATATATATATATAAGACCACAGTATCTCTTATTAAAATAAAAAATATCTCTTTCTCCCTCTTTTTTTTTTTTTTCTCTCTCTCACACTCTCACTCACCCTTACTTTCCTCTCTCTCCCCTCTCCCCCCTCTCACTCCTTCTATTTCTCTTTCTCACTCTTCGTCTCCCTCTTTCGCTCTCTCTCTCCCGCTCCCCTTCCCTTCTCGCTCCCTCCCATATCTATATTTCTCTCTCTTTCTTATATCTCATAATTTATTAATATTGTCAATTTTAATAATATTATTAAAATTTATTTTATTCCTACATTTTACTGACATCTGTTAAAACTTCTATTTTTTTTTATTTGAATGAAATAAAATAATATATTTTTATTCTTTTAGCATTTTTCTTGTTTTGGTTGAACTCTGCATTTAAATAATTTTAATAAGTTCTTAACTTTTTAAAATAGTTTAATATCATATTAGTAATAAGATTTAAGTAAATAAATAAATATATATATATATATATATATATAATGACTTTATTTTAATAAAGAATATTTTTGTAAAAAATATTTATAAATCCAAGAATACACTATTGTAACCAAACATAAAAATCTTTAATTTTCGAAAATCATGTATGAATATTTTCATGAACTTTTATGAGTAACCAAACATATTTTTATTATTCTCAGGAATCATGATTCCCAAGATCTGTAATTCCTAGAAATCATGATTCCTGATTATGAAAAAACTTCTTCCCTACCAAACGCTTCCTTAGTATAACTTAGCAAAAGGAGTTGATAAAAAAGTAAGTAAAAGAAATTAAAGACGTTATTTATTTTGTGGCTAACACAAATTTTTAAAAAATAATAAGTGCTATAAATGCAAAAGAAACATGAAATACACAATAAGAGAATTTTCAAGGAAGGGTCAAGGTGCATGCTATTAAACTTTAAATTCTAATATGTGTCTGGAGGAAAGAGGAACATTATAGAAGTAGGTTGAATAGTGTTACTCAAACACTTTCACTTTTCATAGTGCAGTAAAGTAGTAATCGTGACAGATATAGGAGAGTAGATGAAGTAATAAAGAATGAAATCAGGGATTTATGTTGCTTTTTCTCAGCCATTGAGATTACGTCCAGTTCTCTATTCAATCAGATCAAGTCTTACTATCTTTTCAAATATACAAGTATTCTTTATCAAGCCATTTATGTTTCAAGTTTAAGTATTCTTTGAATTGTCTATTCAAGCAATCTATACAAGTATTATTTTCACACAAAGTCTCTCTATGCTTCAACACTGTATATTCTTTTATAGTCAAGTCTCTCCAAGCTCAAACAACAAGTATTCTTTTCCAAACAAGCTTCTATATAGGCTCAAATCCAATAACTTAAGAGTTACAAAGGTTTACAAAGTTGTTTCATTTTTCTATCAAGATGTAATACAACAACTTAGGTACAAAGATTTTTTATAGAAAGAAAGAATGTAGTTTTTAATATTGATTGACCTCTCTAAATTCATCATCTCTTTTTGAACTTCAAATTTCTTTTTATAAGACTTCAATGAAGATGACCGTTATAAGTTCTTGAACTTCTCTATCATGACGTGCTTAATTTGTCTTCATGATTTGATTCTTGAGAAGAGAAGTGTTTGTTGGTGTAATAAATGTTTGCATTAAATGCTTTCATCAAATGCTTTCATCAAATTGTCACTTCTTATTTAATCAAGAAAGCTTCTTATCACCTTTTTGGCAGTGAGTAGGTAGACTATGTGTGTGTCAAGACATTGCAGTGATGAAACGACTTTTGGCTGTAGCTTTTGATATTTACAAAGATTAGCTCGTCCTTTTCTGATGCAAGACATGTCTTTCTTTCTTTTTTGTGGAACGTTGGTACCGATTAAGTATTTTTAAATTTGATCTACTAAGAAATTTATTCAAACATAGTTAGTTTCTCATTTAGACATCATAAATAATAAGGATTTAATACATATCACTTTTTATGACTAATGATTCATCTTATCCATTATAAAGATTGTCTTAATGAGGTCATCGTCTTATACAAGATTTGTCTTAGTAGGTGAATTTCATCTTAGAGAAAGGTTTATCTTACTCATTTTAAAACTTTATACAATTTGATCCAAAACCTCTATATTTGTTAACAACAAAACTTAAGACCAAAGAGATATAAGATTGTCTTTTTAACTTAAATGTAAATTTGAGTTAATAAAAAAGAGACTAATATTGTAAAAGACTTCCATTCTAATATGTGAGTATGATATTGTAAAATACTATTATTGTATATGTGAGTTAAAAATTTATATAAGAATTGTCAAGTGTAAAAGTGCAAGTTATTAAACTTCAAATTCTAAGATGTGAGTTTGAGTTAGTAAAACTAAGAGTCTGATTGTGAAAGATTATTATTCTAAAATAAAAAAATAGTTACACAAATGAGAACATATGTGAAAAATACTTTTTATGAGAAAATTGTTGAAAAAAAATATGGTTTCTTTTTCCTATAAATACGATGCAATCATGACTACAATTAAATAAATAAAATAGTTCTTTACCTTAATAGCAGCAAGACTTATAGACTCTATTATGAGTGACAATTGAAAAGGCATGACCAAGATTTTGTCAAAAATGTCTTTCAATTAAAACTCAAATTATGGTCCAAAGATAAAGAATATGGAAGAAATAAGAATAGTGGAAAATTTATATAAATAAAGAAAAATGTAGAAGTTTCTATAAGTCTAATCAAGACAAATATCTTCCATGTGACATCTAAAAGAAGACAAGTTACTTAGAGAAAGATCGTTGGTATTATAGAAAATTAGTGTCAACACTACTAGAAATTTGGACACATAGAAAAGAAAAATAATGAGCAACATATTTTTCTATGTTAATTGCTACTCAATATTCCATTAATGAAACAAGTGAGAGTTGGTACTTGGATAACAATTACAATAATCACATGGTTAATCGGAATATCATCATAGAAATTGACAAGTTCAATTAGGAAATAACTCATGGTAGAGTAAAAAGGAAAAGATACTATAATTGTGGAGATAAAAAGAAGGTATAAGACTCATCAATGATGTCTTGTTTCCAATGTTAAAGAAAATATCTTGAGCATTGACTAAATAATGGAGAAAGGTTATGTTTTTCACTTTGAAAAATATACATGCACCATTTATGATAACTATGAAAAAGAGATAACTCAAATTTCGAAAATGTTGATAATGTTGGCAATGGCATGAAGGTCCAAGTTGATGATTCATGACTATGACATTGAAGATTTAGTTGTTTCAACACCAATGCCTTAAAGCTTATATATTAAAAGAATATGTTGAGATCTTCCAAGCTTGAAACAAAATAATGAAGTCTTTCATGAATGTTTTCTTGGAAAGAAACATTGATTGCCATTTTCTTTTGGAAAATCTAGAAAGCAAAAGACTTGTCGAACTTGATCCACATTAACATTTGCATACTGAGAAAGTACCATCACTTCACAATAATATGTGTTTCATCATCTTCATTGATGACTTTTCTATAATGATTTAAGTTTACTTTCTTAGAGAAAAATAAGGAGTCTCAAAATATTCAAGAAGTTTAAAGCTACTATTGAAAAACAAAGTTAAAAACATAAAGTACTTAAAAGTGATTGCATAAAGGAGAATAACTCATGAATTTGATAAGTTATATGAAAATGAATGCATTGAGTGACAACTTGCAATAGCATATTCTCCACAACAAAATATTGTCTTTGAGAGGAGGAATCAAATAGTTGTAAAGATGACCAAGCTAATGAAGAAGAAATATTTATCTAACACCTTTTAGGTAGAAAGCAAATCACACTATAAATTACATACTTAATAAATATTCAAATGAGGTAGTTCAATACAAGACATATGTTGATGCTTGGAATGGGAAAAACTATAAATTAAACATCATAAACTAAATTTAATATTAAATAAAAATTTTATAAAAATATTTATGTATTAATGTTAGATTTTTTTTTTACTATTGTGGAATTATTTTAAAAACTATTTATTAACTTCAATTTGGTAAATAGAGTTTTTAAACCTACCTAAAATCATTATGCAAACACATTACATAAAGGAGTTATGTTAAAACTTGTTACCACTTTGGAATGGTCAAAGTGAGTATGATGTGGGAGATCTATATATATATATATATATATTTTAATAATTGGTGTTGTTTTCTCTTAATAGGATACTAACTTTTGTATTTTTTTTTTCTTAGTGTAAATGGGGATCAACTTTTTTTTTAATAATTAGTGTTGCTGTGAGTAACACCTCAAGAGCAATTAATAAATAAATAATAATTCATAAAATATAATTTTATTAGATATAAAAATATTAATTAAAAAAATATTTTACTTAATTATATACGAATATAAATGTAATAGGGAATAAAATTTTAGATTCAAAATTATTAAAGATTTATTTATTGGTAATAATTTTTTACATTCAAATATTCAATAATGTTATTTCAATTTTAATTATTATTTTTATATTTAAAAGTTATATTTTATTAATTATTATTATTTATTAATTATTTTTGTGGTGTTATTCACACCAACAAAACCAATTATTAAAAAAATTCATGACACTTAAGAACAGTAACACTTATTTTAAATTAGTTAAATAGCTTAAAAACAACATTTCATTAATGAAAAAATTGTTATATTTTAATTATATTTTTTAATTGTATTATATCACTATAAATATATTTATTTTTAATAATGATATGGTACAATTAAAAAATATAATTAATTTTTAGTATAAAAGAAATTTACATGATTAACACTACTTTTAATTTTTACGTTTTTTTTTTCCTCTCAATCTAATTCAATGCCATCTCGTGAATCAACAGTATTGTCTGTCGTGCACGTCATACTAAACACAACACTAAAGACTGAGTCAGTGAGTAGTCCGTGGGACGTGGGTTGAAGTTGAATCTCTTCTTCCAATGCAGCCTCGACGAAGAAGGTATGTTGGAGGTTCGACGGAAACGAAATCTAAGCATTTTCTGAAGATAATACTTCCCTCAGCCATTCATGGCAACCAAATGGTAACTCTTTATGCTCTCTTACTTTCTCTTCTTTCTTTCACTCCCATTCTATCCATGCATCACTTATTCACTTTCTTGGGTTGAGCCCCTTCTTTTCTTTTCTTATTAAATCAAAGTGTACTGTTCATAACTGATTTAAGAAGTGATCACTGCAGAGAATTCCCGAGGAGTTTATAAAAAGATTTGGAGATGAACTATCAACTGTTGCTACAGTTTCTGTTCCCGATGGTCGTATTTGGAAAATGAGGTTGAAGAAATGTGATAAACATGTTTTCTTCTGCACCCAATGGCGACACTTTGTAAATTACTATTCTCTCAGTTACGGTTCCCACCTAGTTTTCAGATATGAAGGGAACTCAAAATTTCGTGTTCTTATATTTGATATTACTTCTGCTGAGATTTGTTATCCATGCAAAACTCGAGGCACTAATAGTAATAGGAAGAGGTCCAAGGTTGATGACGAAGACAGTAATGTGAACTTAAAAAGTGAGAGCAAAACAAAGAAGGAAGAAAGTGATTTTTCTGATAGGAAACAAGTCCAAAGTGGATATAATGAAAATCACTCTTCTAATTCTTCGGAAATATCAAAGGATTCTGCCAATACATTCAAGCCCAAAAACCCCTTTGTCACTTCAACCATCAAGCTTGATCGATTGGTGAGGAATAATTTTACTTTAATAGTTTATGATAAAACGAAGGTTTAATTACTTTTGTTTTTCCTATGTTATCATAAAACCTTAATATTATTTTTATAATTAACAATTATTTTATTTTAGTTTCTATATATATATTTTTTTAGTTTTTATAGTTGTCTAAACTTTTCCTTTTAATTCATATATATACATAAACTTTCTATCTCCATAAATATAGACCAAAGAAACTTAAAAGAGAATAAAAATGATATGGATTGAAACTAAAATGGAATGTTTTTAATTATAGAAATTAAAAGATAAAATTATGAAATTGTGAGGAACAAAAGGGGAACTAAACCTAAAATGAAAAATTGAGTATGCATGTTTTACACTCAAACCTCCCTTCCTTGTGCAGTATGTGGGAAGTAAATTTGCTAGCAAGTATCTGAAGGCAAATGTTGGTATGATGCTCCAAAACTGTAACGGGGAGCAGTGGGATGTTTCTTGCGTATGTCATAGTGGCAGCAGAGCAAAGATAATATTCAGGGGATGGAGTAAATTTGTAAGGGACAATGATCTATCAGAAGGAGATGCTTGTATGTTGGAGTTGATCAAGAGGGACCCAATTGTGCTAAAACTTACTACCTAAATATGACAATTCATGTCCACTATAAACACTCAATCGTCTGTGTTTGCTTTTGGATTGGATCCACGTCTCAACAAGCAGCTTATGGGTATTTCGGTTATTGGATGTGGTGACAGGGCTTTGATCTGTGTTTTGTTGTCACTTTTTTAACTAGTAATAAAGCCGTTAATGGATTGGTGAGAAATGATGGATTATTTGGTGGTGCTTATAAAATATTATGTATTCAGAACTTTAATCCACTAATTAACGTACAACTTTAATCAATTAGTATCTGATTAGATCAAATACGAGAGAGGTGTAGGTTATTAATTAGATCCATATCTGATTGCGTTTGGTAGAGAAGAGGATAGTCATTCAAATATTTGACAAGCTGATTGCTTACTCCATCTAAATGAAAAATGAGGACGTGAAAATTGGACTTGTATCATACATTATTAGGTGAGCGTCAATTACTTTTCTTAACTACTAGGCTATTCACCGTAAGAAAAAATAAAAATAAAACCAAAAATCAAAACAAGTAATATTATTCTGCTCTTTTTCTTCGACATTCTTTAACAAAGTTGTTAGATGATGTTGAGATTTTCTTCACCCCAGATAATCCTTTTGTAATTTCACTGCGGGCATAGGCCCCATTACATTATACATATACATATATATACATACATACATATAAGGAGCATATCAAGTGAGAGAAAATTTATTATGAGAGATGAGAGGGTTAAAATATAACCTTTAGATTAATTTTACGAATTCCTAAATTTTGACGTATTAAGTGAGAGAAAATTAATCTAAGGATTATATTTTAACCCTATCATCTCTCATAATAAATTTCCTCTCCCTTGATACACTCCCCATACACACACACACACACACACACACACACATATTATATATATATATATATGAGTTAATCACCTATACACTGCTAATGTAAAGTTTTTTACACTGACAACCAATCAAATTTGTTAATAGTGCATTTTTTATTTTAATTTAATTAAATGAGCAAATGACATGACACTATTAACAGATCTGATTGGTTGCCAGTATAAAGTGTATAGGTGATTAACTATATATATATATAATTTATGATCATTTTTTTAAGTAAACATCTAATGTGGTCCCTAAAAAAATAGTAGAAGTGATTAATCGGTTTCTGAAAGATTTTTTACAACATTTGGATCTCTAAATTTTAATTTTGTTATGCAAGTTATTCCTTCTGTTATATTCAATTGCTAACTCTACTAATCTCATGATCAATCAACAACTAATTATCACGTTGACATGTATTTTCTTTCTCAATTGGTATATAATCATTATAAACTAAGTAGATTTAGACATGTGACAATGTAAGATTTAATTTTTAATTTAATTTAAAATTAACTGAAGTGATATTTGAATGACTTATTTCTTTTCACACACTTCCATTCTCATATTCCATTTCATTCGCGAAATTGATATGTGCAAGATGTGAAACTTATTGAGACAAGGGTTTAAGACATTATTGAAGAGGAACTTGGATTTTTGGTTGTTCATGAAATCTTTATTAGAGCTATGTTTTCATATTAACAAAGAAGACCATTATCACTAAGTTCTTCTCCACTTCTACTAGAAGAATTTTGCAATTCATTAAACATAGCAAAAACACTCGTATTCAATTAATGCATCCTTACTTGATATCTTTCAGAATGACCATTCATTTTGTTAAATCTTAAATTCAATAATTTAAGGTTTACAATCATAAACTTGTAACTAGAAAAGACGAAGAAATTAAGGATGACTGAGATAGAAAAATTCTATTGTAGAAAATCCTACAAAAGTCAACAACTTTTCATTTTTACCAGAACACTCATGACCAGAATATTTATACATAACAAAATGTTTTTTTGTTATTTGAAAAGTATCAAAATCTTGTATTATATAATCCATATTAAGTGAGTAAAAGAAAGAACAACCAACTGAAAGAGAGAATAAGTGTTAACCTAATATTTAACTTGTTCAAGAAACTAACAAAGTTAATAACAAAATATAATGAATAATTTGCATAACAAAATTAAAATTTAAGAACTCAGATGTCACAAAAAATCTTTTAAAACTTAGATGTCACAAAAAATCTTTCAAGACCTATTAACCATCTCTATTATTTTTCAGAAACTAAATTTAGTGATTACTCGATAACTTTTCATTTCATTTCCTTTTTTAATAAAAATCAAACAATATTAATTCAAGATGACTTTTTTCCTTTTTGTTTACCAAAATATAAATATACTTTTAATGCCCAAATGATTAGAAAAATTTTAAGTCCATCCTTAGCATTCCAATGCAATTTTTTCGTCAACCTTTTCATGAATAAGACAAAATAAAGATAAAAATAAAAATTTAAAGCGCATGCGATTATTAAATCTCTTCTTTCTTCTTCATACACCCCTTTCACAAAAATGTAAACAGTTTAAGCCAATTTTAAAATTCATCGTAAAACACCATTTCACCATTTTCATCCGCCTTTTCATGAATAAAAACGAACGAATTTCTTTAATTTTATTGAAGCAGTGAAATATATGCACTTTTTACTCTAATATTGTACTAACAATAAAAAATAATCGTAATAAAGCTAAAATTGTAAGTACAAAAGTTAATATTACTATACACATGAACTGGAAGAAAAAAAAGAAGAAAAAAAAAACTTACAGAAGTCAATTGCTAATTGAATAATACAGTTGTCTTAATGCGATGGAATCATGCTCCTTCCTCTATTATATTTGATGATTATAAAAGATAAAAATACTTCTCTCAACTGGGCCTCCTGCATGATGGTCAATATAGCAAAGCCATATCAACTCTACAATTTCTGAATCCTAGGGAATGGAAAGATAAAACAAATCATGGTAACCATTAAGCTATGGAATTTGAGCTATTTCCACCAAAAGTTTGTGGAGAGATTGTGGCTTGGAGAAGAATGGACTGTGGTCACTGCCTTTGATCTTGAAAACTCCTTCAGGTGGATTTTCTCTCACAAGCTTCTCTTGGACATCTGGTGAAAGTGCATGATCATCCAATGTTTGAATGTAAAACCGGCGCCCAGTACCATATTTCTCAGCTGATAAAGACAGCTTCTCCATGATTGGACCAAGAGGACTATGTCTCATGGAAACCATGGCTAGAGCAACATCCTGAAATACACCTCATTTCAAAATTTCAAATGTATCAGAATTTCGAAAGTGTTAATACAACAACCAGCTCATTCCTTCAATTAGGACTCAGTTTACATCACACAAATAAAAATACAATAAATTAAGATAGTATTATATTTTTATTTGAATTCGGTTATGATCCAACCTGTAATGTGTATAAACAAATTTTACAGGACATGGTATTAAGAAACTAGAAACATACCAGGTGATTTTTTGAGTTATTTCAGAGTATTAATCCATAACAAAATAAAGAATATATAAAAATTTTAAATAAAAAAAAAAAAACACGTTTGGGTATCAGGAGAAGAAAAAATCCTACCTTAATTAACATAACACTGCTTAGAAACATAAAAACAACAAATATATATGAACCACTTCACCCATACTTGAAATAATCTTGTTACACAATTATTAAAAACCAATAATTTCAAGCTGGATCCGAACTAAACTTAGCACACTCAAGAAAATATTTAGGAACCTACAACTCAACAATTTTGCTCCTTCTCAGTCAAAAGACAACATGTGTTTCTTTCTCAACATATAGGTCACATATTTGCGGGTTGCATCCTCTTGGTCAATCATGCTCATATTTGTGTAAAACGGTATCCACAGAAAAAGTCATTGTTGGAAACCAAAGTAACAAAATAATAACTCGCAGCTAAAATAAAAGGTGAGAAAAAAGAAACAAAAATGTTGATGTGCATAAGTAGAATAAACTAAACACTAAGAGAGGACATTAACACTCTAGAAAATAAGAGATTACAACTACTAAGAGAACCTTAAAAGAGAAACTATTTTTCTCTCCTACTTTTTCTCTTAGTAGACAAGAAGCTTTAAAGAAAGGACAAAACTTGGGTACAGTACCATAAATGCATATTATCGAGGTCTGCATTAAATTTATATATTACCAAGGTGAAATTTCAATTCTGATTGGAGAAAAACACATTGAAAAATAACACAAACAATACCTATAGTATTGTACTTAAGTTTTGTTCTTAAAGAAAATGGAAGAAGAGACTTCTTGGGATGATCACAATGGGACCATAGGGATTCTTTATATAGCCATGGATCAAATTGCTCAAAATGCAAGTTAAATGCAATACACATAATTCGAACAACTCTCATAGTAGTCAATCTAACAATTGGTGAAAATATCTCATTAAAGTCAATACCTTTTTTTTCCTGAGTATATCCTTTGACCACCAATCTTTCACGATATCTTTTCACTTGATCATTGTCATCTCGTTTGATCTTGTAGATCCATTTACTTCTAATGGCTTTTCGACCTTCTATAAATTCAACAAGTTCCCATGCATTGTGTTTATGTAAGGCCTCCCCTTCTTCTAGCATTGTTCTAATCTATAGAGAAACATTTGAACTCTTCGATGTATATTGAAAGGCTAATGGTTTTCCTTCTTCAATTAAAAGGCAACACACATCCTGGCTTGCCATGACATAATCTGAGTGTCAAGATGGTTTTCCTTAAATGATGCCTTTTTCATTAAGCTTTTTCATCATTGACTTCATTTGTCTCTTGTTCCTCGTGCACTTGTTCTACTTCAAAAGAGTTATCTTCTCTTTTTTATCTCCACCATAGTAATGTTTTTGGTAGTGTTGTCATTTTTCTACTCACTTTACAATTCATTTTTTGCAAAAAAATGCCCTTGCTTACAACAACTTTGAAGGCAATGGAATCTCACAAGCTTAAAATTGTCAACATAACCCAAGAATATACATTTCCTAGATTTTGGATCCAGCTTTGATCCTTCTTAGGAGTTGTACATCTCATACACAGGGCATTCGAACACATGTAAGAAAGAATAATCAATTGGTTTGCCTTTCCACGTCTCCATTGGTGACTTTCTACCAATACCTTGTTATCAACATAACTCTTGTTCTATCTTGATTAGGTACACCTATAATCTCTTTGAATCATCAATTAATAATACAAAATACTTTGCTCCTCCCATGGATATTTATGGTGATTCCCAGGCATCAAAATGGATCAAGTCCAATACATGTTTGCTTCCATAGTTACTTTGGAAAATTTCATTCTATGTTGTTTGTTTGCTTATCATATAGTGTGCTCAAAATGGTAAATTTACTGTTTTGAGCTTGAAAAGAAATTATGTTCCACAAGCCTCACTCTAACATATGATTAAGTCTACGATGCTATGTCATTGTCGCTTCTTCTTGACTTGTTGTTGCAACAAATGCATCTACTTCTTGCAACATATCTCCCAAAAGCATATATAGATTTGCTTTGAGCTTCCCTACTTTCATTACTGCAAGCTTGTCTTCATTATCTTCAAGATTCCACCTTCAAAATTGATCTTGCACTCAAGGTCTTCCAATTGCCTAATGGACGATAAGTTCTTCAAACCATTCACATGTTGTACCCCTTCAATTGTTTGAATAGTACCATACATTTTTAATATGATAGAACTGACTCAACAACTTCTATGGTATGATTATTTCCCATGAACAGGAATCCTTTCAAGATGGGCTTATAAGTGCAAAATCAATATCGATATGGAACTAGGTTGCACTAAATTCAATATTGAACCATCATTTTTTTTGCCTTTAGAACTAATTGTTGCTTCATTATGTTGCACTTCTCTATCATCTAAGGTACTCGCAACGCAACCTTGAAAGGTTGGCGCTTCAAGTTATTTTCTTCATTCTTCTTGTGCCAATAGTTTTTCAAGTGTCCTCTCATCCCACTGGAGTCACGTTCATTTGATCTATCTCACATCATCTTTAAAGCCTATGCTTGCTTTGAATTTTCCAACCTATCTTCTTTATTCTTTGGCTTGGATTCTCTTCAAGACAACATCACCAAAAGGATAGACGATTGACAACATTATTATTTGTTATGTTGATGGTGAGTTGATCATACAAATTTCCCAAACTTTGAAATATAAGTTTTGCACATTGGTTGTTATTTGAAATTTGATGTTTTAAGTTAAGCAAATAGCATATTCAAATTGTTAATGTGATATGTCACCTATATGGACTGATTCAAAGAGTGTAGAGTTTTCTCTTTAAGAATATCTAGTGTGAAGTGACTTACTTTGTACAATTTGATGAGAGCACCCCTAATCTCTTTCGCAGCAACATTATTATACATCCCTTTCCACCTTTCATCAATGATATTTGCAAGTTTTCCTTCAATTGCATTGAAACAATTGTCTTTCCTCAAAATTTCCCTTATCTTCAATTTTCACATGAAGAAATTACTCCCTTTAAACTTCTCTATCTCATTTTGTTGCCATGATTTTACAGCAAATAATTTATAGACTGAATTGACTTGCACAATTTCCAACTGATGTATGATGGAATAGTGACTATAGTTTGTGAATTAGTACATATGTTGAGTTCCCAAAAAAGAGAGATAGGTCACCAATGGAAACACTTAGATACCAAGTCTTTTTTATCCAGAAGTTTCCTACACATGCACTTTCACACTTCGACATTATATTATCCAATAACAAGGAAAAAAACCTGGTGCAGAATATCAGATTATGCTACAACACATAGCATACTTGAGAAATTTCTTAAAAATATGGCACCATACTGGCATGTCTTATCGCGTAACAATATCAACAACCAAGAGGATTTGATACCATTGTTTGGGACCAGAATAACAAAATAATAACTCGTAACTAAAATAAGAGATGAGAAAAGAGGAATAAAAATGACAATGGGCAAAAAGAGAAACTTCATTAAATTAACAATGGATCCGTTTGTTTCAACTTTTTTTTCTTATAAAAGCGCTTTTTTAAATAAAATAAACTTTTTTAAAATTTTTTGATGTTTGTCTAAACTTCCTTTTATAAATAAGCAGTTTTATATTTTTTTTAAAGGAAGCAACACTTATTTGCTTCTTAAAGACTTGCTTTTTTTAAAAGCACTTGCTTAGAGACACTTATTTTTAAGTTTAAACAAATAGACCCAATGTCACTAGAAAAGAAGATTATAACTACCAAGAGAACCTTAAAAGAGAAACTATTTTCTCTCTTACTTCTCCTCAAAATAGACAAATTGGTAATGGCAACTGCCATGAAACAGCCATTAGTAGCACAGGAAAGAAGTCATAAACAGTTAAACACAACTATTCCCTAAAATGAAACTAGGGGCAAAAAAGAGATGTAAAAAAAATGGATTATGCTCTATCCAATAAAACAAAGGTCAGCAAAGTCTCCATATTTCTTGCAAAACCTTAAAAGCAAACCAAGAGAAACTGCTCCAAAGTGAGTGGGTTTGTTCAATTTCATCCATCACACCAAATAGAATATTCAAAGGAAAGTAGCTGCCTTAAAATATAGAATTAGACAGGCTATTGTTTCTGAACTTGACCTGATCGTAACACAAATGTGAGGGGAAACCACGACATAGGGCCTACAAATTTGCAGCATTCAACGGTATTAATCCTATCAAGTCTATTCATAAAAATGATCTGACCTTAGAAGGAATTTTAGATTTCCACATGGTTCTATTAAAGAAAAGGGCAAGAAATGGAAAATAGGAAACGCAAGATTCCAGAAGAGTTGGTAGATCAAATTCTCCTATTTTGATAAATGAATAAAAGTAAGAAGAATCAAGTAAAAGCAAAATGGATTGAATCTCAATGCTCCTCCTATCATTCAGGTTTCATCTAAGTGGAAATCCTAATCAATATTAGAATCCTGAGTTGAGTAAAAGCTCCGGATGAGTGACTAAAGTAAACAAAACGAACTACAAACGAATGAAATGTCTCAGAAAAAGGAATAGTTCCCACCTATACATCCACCCAAAATCAGATCCAGGAATCATCTCCCAGTCGAAAAGATGCACATACCCTTGACATAAAGTTCCAAGGACTTGCTTGACTCATTTCTGTTTAATGTGATATCTGCTTTACGAACTTGTTTCTTAAACTGTGATGGAAACAACTTAAAGATCTTGGTTACTAAATCACTAACAACCCAAAAGATTAGAGGAGCATGTGCGGGGGGTCTACTCCTCTAGTTAATTGTATTGATATATTTGTGAGAAACTGATAACCTCATCCCGCCTGCCCCCCAAATGTTATATAATGACAAGTATTAGTCTATACATGAAAAGATTAAAACTTGAATCTAAGGTTACTTTTTGACAAAAAAAAGTGGAATAAAATGGTGATGTAGATCTGTTGTGGTTTCGCTGCAGTTGTGTGATTTAAATCCACACTACAATTGCAAGTAGCACCGCAACAACAATATTGCGGATACAACAGGTGTCGTGGACTGCAATTTAGAACCATGAATGTGATAATTATATTAAACATCACCAATACAAGCTTTCTACTAGAGCTTTTAACCATGTACTTCTCAGTACAGTAATACATTTTGGATACCCGTTAATATTTCTTTTGAATCTTTTAATATTTGAAATTATTGATTGCATATAAGTTTTAAAAAAGATATTCTTCTTCCATCCAACCACTTCTAAAAATTGTAAGAGAAAGAGGATGAAAAAAATGTAATGAACAGCATTTTAGTTCCAAATTATTTCTATTTATCACAAGTCATACAGCTTCAAGTAGCTAAATTGAATAAACAGATATATAGCATCTAAAGAGTTAGAAATGGACTTAAATCCTGCATACCTTTGCAGGGGATTGGTTAAAATATAACCCTTTCATCTGCTCTTTCTCAAACATAAATCCTGTCGGGGGCTTTTCTTTACCATTCCCATGGATCAAAAACTTAGATTCTTGTATAAAACGTTCAGCAGATCCTAGCTGCAGTGTAGATAATTTGTGAGGACTTCCAAGAAAAATACAAAACAAGATGAATTTAAAATAATAGTAATAACTTATTACATGAAACATGCTCATTCAGGAATGAAAATACAACACAGAATTTATACTTTGGCTGTTATTACATTTAGTGTCTATGCAGTAAGAAAACATTTGAGCACCACTCTAATTATGAACACATTTGAATGTGATTGTAGGTTTGTCAGAACAGCTTTTTTTTTGCATGTTCTAGAGCTTATGTATTTAGCTTTTCCAAGTTGTTATTCTTACGGATAAAAAAGGGTATTATTTTGCTAAAAGAACATTATTTAAGGCAGGAAATTAATGAAATGAAGTAGGCTGAGTGGCACATTTTAGCAATAAAAGATTCACTGGGAAGTTTGCCAAGACTTTAAATTCTGCCCGTAGAAATAGAGTTATTAAAATTAAAACAGTCAAGAGAGAGTAATTAAAACAGTCAAGTAATGAAATGAAGTAGGCTGAGTGGCACATTTTAGCAATAAAAGATTCACTGGGAAGTTTGCCAAGACTTTAAATTCTGCCCATAGAATTAGAGTTATTAAAATTAAAACAGTCAAGTGAGAGTAAATTTGAGATAACAGATAAAAATATTACACTAAGCAATGTATTCATAAATTATAGTAGGACAGAACACCATGGTTTTACAAATTTTTTTCCTCTAGAATGTAGTATATTTGAGGTTGCACAGCCCTTGTGAAAGGATGAAGAGCAATATACATGTAATAACATAATTGATAAAAAAAAATGGTTACAAACTTGAAAGTTTTTAATTAAGTTATGTTTTGATTCAATTCATCACGTGTGAATATTTGATTTCTCAAAAATCCAACTGATCACACAAGTAAATGAACAAACTAACGAGATACCTCATCAGCAAACACATCAAAAGGTCTTTGGCCATCAGACACCATTGTTGCACAAAGGAAAATTGCTTTAGAGATCTTCTGTGCATAATGTTCCAATGCATAAGAAATACATGCACCACCGATACTATGACCAACAAGAATAACCTGCAAAATTTCCATTTTCATGAAATATAATAGAATATTGGACATGCATCAAGTCAAATATATATTCAATGTCTCACATCCAAACCTTTTCATCCTCAGGAAGGTTTTCAAGGTAAACAGTTAAAGGTTTTGAATACTCTGCCAATGTAGTGACCCTGTTAGTATCCGTGAGATCAATTCCAGAGCCAGTAAGATCTAAAGCAACAGGAAGCAGCCCTGCTTCCTCTAGAAGGGCAACAGTCTTGTACCAACACCATGCTCCAAAACCTTCTCCATGGATTAGCACAAACTTCTTTATCTGAATGTTTTCCAGATTTACATGAACCTGCACAGAGTATACCGGCAAATCAGTCAAGTATTTCAAAAAAAAAAATACAAGGGGCATGCAGAATCAAAACAGCATTGTTATACACTATAGGCTATAGCTAATGTCTGACAAGAGGCCAACAAAATTTCCTAACCAAATTTCTTAGCAAAATCAAGTTTGTGTAGAACATAAATACTAATTATTAAACAATTCCATACCATTCTAGATCCTATCTAACATTTGCATCCAACAAGAACATATTAACTTTGATTCTATGCATAAATTCAAATAAAAATTTCCAAAATAAGGAGTTCATTTACAATAAATCACAGGCAAAATCCAAATGAATAAGTAGTAACATAATTATCGTGATTTCAGCAGAAGTCTCCAAACATGAAACAGCTCCAATCTTGCCTATAGACAACTGTGCTAAACTCTCCTAAAAAGGTAGAAGAAAAGAACTATCCCATGACGCTAAAGAATGCATAAGATGTAGCGCAGTCAAGGAAGTGGGGTATGTTAACTAGTACAGGATACAAGCGACTAATCATAAACAAATCGCATCTGCTTTTGAAAGCACAGTGAATTGGCCCTGTACTTTTCTAGATGCACCTTTTTAGGCATAAAAAAAGTAGACCTTGATTTCTTTTTGTATGTGCACTTTTCAGCCATGGTCTGTTATGTTGACTCAAGCACTAGTTCTCACTTCTACCCTACCCAATACCCATGTACTGATTTACATAAAGATCTCAATCATGATAGCCCACCTTTTCCCACTGATGAAATGATTCAAAAATCAAAACTTTTCTATCAAAATATATAAATTAGAGTCACCCACATGACACACACCTGTTTATTGGCAGAAAAAGATTCAGACACAGCGTGCCTTTTAGAGGCACCAATTCTCCTTGACATTGACCCTTCAAACCTCTGAGACAATTGATGCTGCTGAAGTGCCATAGACAGTGCCTGAAGATGCAGCTCTTCCTCACTCACAAGCTTCCTCTGTGATCTACCTACTCTCTTGCTTCTCGATCCAATATCTTTGGTCTCCTTCTTCGTCATGCAAATGAAATTACCCATCTTTCACTTTCTCCTCTGCTCCAGCGAAATTGAACAAAGCCTCGGTTTTTCTTCAACTTATGGGTTGTCTTATTTTTCTTTTTCGTGGTCTCGGAGAGTTGGAGGAGTTGTTAAGTTGTTGGGAATGAATACCAAAAATAAAAGGCAAAATATAGGAATGAAACAACTCGAAGTCTTGAGGCCCTAACCGATTTTAGAGCTTATTAAATGCGCTCGATTTCAACGACACCAGACTTCATTTCACAATTCAATATCTCTCTCCATTGCTTTCAATTTCAACCTAACCAACAATAATAGGGCTTTTTCTTTTTCTTTTTTTTTTCTTCTAATTACTCCTGTTTTGGGTTTTTATTTTTACGAGAACAGTGTATATTTTACAAAGGGCGTGTAATGTAGTCAAGACTCAAGAGTCAAGACGAGCGTAGTGGAGACAAAGTGAGCTGAAAATAAGCGCATACATAATCTGTAGGTTTTCAACGTGCAGTTGAGTGGAACAGATGTCATCATTTTTTCTATTTGAAATAAAAATTGCTTTAAAAAGGTCGAATTTTACAAAGTTGAACTGATGAAGGAAACTTCATGGCAGAAAAAGCACTTTCCTGATGTGAAACTGCTAAAACAGTATCCATATGTTCGAAAATGTACGAATTTTTTATTTTAAAATAAATAGTATATGTGGCAATGCGGAATGAACCCTTTCAAATGAAAAAAAATAAATTGAAAAAATATAATTTTGATGAGTTAAAAATATATAGACTCTGATTAAATAGAGAATCATTGTTTTACATCAAACTTTTTATTCCTGAAATTTTAATTTTCTTTTATAAAAAAATTATAAAAATAGTCGCAATGAAAATTAAACATAAATCTTTATGTTTTTAACTATCTTAACCCCTCCCCACTCAATTACTAGACTAACCCTAGTAATCTTTTTATTCATGAGATTATAATAGTAAAAATGTTTATTCTTGTATGTAAAATTATATATTATTAAAGATAAAAATTCTAAAAGAATTTTTACATTTTTTTTATTAAATGTTTTTTTTATCAAACATAATTTTAATGTAGATGAAAAGCTTGTGAAATATGGAAGAAATGTGAAATTACAGTAAATATAATTTTTGTCATGTAAGTAAATATGGGAGATTCTATTTTCTGTTTTATCTCATTTTGATAACTCGTTTAATGATTATTTTCATATGTAGTTAGGAATTGTGAAATTGCATAACATAAAGAATTCGTGTAATATACTCTTCTCTAGAATTTTCCCTTTTTTTCATTTTCAATATAATGTTGTGTCAATTTTCATCACAATCACAAAATGCAAAGATTTCAAAGTAATGGCAAAATATAAAGACTGTAAGTAATTTCAAAATGCAGATGAGAGAGAAGAAATGTGAGATTGTGATATACATAATTTTTGTTTGTACAAATATTTAAGACTATTTTTTTTGCTTTTATCTCAATGTAGAGTTTTCACCTATACTATAATTTTCTCTTTCCTTGATCTCTATATAATTATTTCCTCTTCTTTTATACTATTATTTTTTTCTTAATTTTTTTATAATAACACCTTGGCATGTCAAGATCTTTTTTTCTCTATATATATATATAATTAAAAATTAATTTTTTTTATAAAAATAAGAAAGATTATAAAAAATATTAAAATTGATCATATATTTTCGTGTTTTTAATTATTTCAACTCCTTATTATTTAACTATTGGACTAATTCTAATGATTTTTGAAAAATAATAAATAGTATTAATTATAAGTAATAGAAAAAAAAAATTGTAAACTAGTAATTTTATGACAATTAGTATATATATTTATTATTATTATTATTATATATATATATATATATATATATATATATATATAAATGTGTGTGTGATTATCTACATCTATAATTTACATTTACAATAATATATATATAAATAATAGTTTGATTTGGTATAGATATTTTTTAGAAGATTTTATCAATAAAATTTTAAATAATAAAAAATAATATTACAAATTAATATTTTTACAAACATAAAACTTAAATTTAAGATCTTGTAATTTGAAAACCAAAAATAACACTAATTAATTTAACAAATATTGATAATTTTAAATATTTTTATTAATAAAAGAGATTTTTCCATTTAGTGTCCATATTTTTTGACAATTTTATCCTATCCCTTTATAAATTACAATTTATTTCTTTTTTTAAAAAAAAATCTCTCTATATTTGCCAATATTTTTAATATCTACCTACTATCATGTAATTTTAAAAACATAATTCATGAAGGCATGGAATATCTTTCGTACGCTAGTAATGATTAATATATATTAATTTTGATTAAATTTTTAATTACAGAAAAGTATTAAATACCATAATAGCCTACGAACTTGTATATAGTAAACACAAACGTGAGAGTGTTTTACGGATTTTCTTTGATTTGTAAGGTTTTCTTAACTTTTTTATCTAATTCGATTTTTATTTATTATAATTATTTATAAAATAAATATTATTATTTAAAATAAATATCAATAAACAAAAATATTTTAAAAATATAAATTATTTAATATAAATTTAAAATATAATTTATATGCTTAAAGTTATTTATTTATACTAATTTTAAATATAATTTATATATTCAAACATAATATTTATATATTATAAAATTTAATTATATAA